AATACAGCCAATAACACAGCCAGCACTGTTGCCAACACGGCAGCAAGCACGCAAATCCAGCTAGCAATCCAGCAGGAAAAAAGCATCGTGTGCCGCTGGCTTTAGAAATGGCGGCAAGCAAAAACTTGTTTACGAAGCAAATGCAGTCTCGAAGCGTATCCAGTAAGGAATAGATTGCCGAGAATCCGGCTCGAAGGACCAAAAAGTGTTAAGTATTCGTGAGAGACGTCGAACTCGGCTCGATGAAAATGCTTTGCGTGTCGCATTTTGTCGATGGACCGAGGTTAGATCCCGTGTCACGCTGTGCTTTTCGGTGTGACTTCTCGAAAGCGGCGTGGTCAAGACAAAACTCGTCTTTTAGTTTAATTATTTATTTACCTCCTGGATAGCTACGCGAATTTACAATAAACTTCGTGCAGTGATACCTCGTATCTACGACTAGCCGTACAGAACTTCAGTAGTGTAATGGTTATGCGCGGTCTATAATGACAGTAGCAGTAGTGGATTAGGTTGTAAGAGTAAGAAATTGACCAATCACAGTCGAATGTGAGAAGAATAATCGACTGCAATTGGTCAATTTCTTACTCTTACAACCTAATCCACTACTGCTACTGCCATTGTAGACCACGCATTAGATAGCTAGGAGACAGTAACAGCAAAAAAGGTGAATCGCACGCAGGAAAGAGGCGCGTAGTAATACAAGAACGCGTCGCGCGCATACAAAGTTCAGCTTGTCAGTAACGTAGGAATTGATAGGCCGTAACGGAGACCGATTACGCAAAGAAAACATTTTATTCTTAACAAAGATATAACGTTTTTAACATTAAAGATATACGAGTAACGAATTCTTTGCAATTAGGATAACTTAGATACCGGTAGTGTACGTCTGTTTGGAAACATATTATTCGTTATAATATTACTCTGAAAAACTAACACTATATTTATAAAGATACGTAAAAAATTCCACATTGAATACATTGCCTAAACACATTTTTGAAAAGAGAATGGGAACAGGCAGACTTTATTGTCGCTGACGCTGATCCCTTAGATATAAAAAAGATTCGATATCGTCAAAGTGCATTCTTATACATATGTGTCATTGCATAGTTTAATGTAGGCTTAATAGCAATTACCGAAAATTAACTTGCATATTTGTAAAGATAAGTAAAATTTCACCATCCGTTGAATACACCATCCGAAAGAAAAAATTAATGAATAAGAAAATGAAAAAATAAAAATAAATGATATATAAAGATAATATGAAATAGAAAACGCATGAACGAAAAAGAGCTCTAATACATCAACCGCTCAGCGAATAGTTATCGCCTCAGTCATCACATCAAAAAACGTTTGTGAGGATATTATACTTTAAACGTTAAACAAGAATTGAACATTTACGTTATTCTATGTGAAATGGATAAACAATATTGCTCATCGATGATGCACTTGAGCCGCAATATAAAGAATTTTGATTTCGAAACATGCTTACTCACAGTAATACATGGTGTACCAAGCATAAGGCATAGCAGATATATAAACATATCAATGTGTGTGATTCGAAGTTTGATGATTACCAGGTATGTAAATATGAAACCGGAATTTACCAATAGATGGCTGTTACGTCCTGAGCGCGAGTTTTCGGCGGTTTCGAAACGCGACACGAGTTTGCGGGAACGCGAGCGCGGAGCGGGGCGCGCGGGGCGAAGCCTTGGCTTCAACGCGGTGTTTAGACGCGTATTTCTGTTGTTAGTATAGGCAGCTGTCACCAGTGCTCGGAATTGAGCACGAAATTCAGAGATAATGTATATGATTCTACGAAGTTACTCGAGTTTAAAGTGATTAGCCTTCCAGGTTCTTCTAATAAAATAAAATGGAGAGTTTAGAGGATGCGTCAGTTAGGCTTCATTTC